CTTCTCAGCGATAAGGACTAGTCTCCTCGTTATACAGCACAAACAGGGTGCTGATCACAGATGACCAAACCAGACCGCATGTCACGGTTCTCACTTTGAATTGCTACAGGACCTCGTACAATAACATCCAGCAGTACTCAACATGTGACAGCACAGCCCGCATGTAAAAACAGCACGACACACACTCAGCAGACACCATTATACCCACAGTCAGAGAACCTAGTTCATCAAAAAAGCATCAATGTTGAGCTCGTATAGTAACATGTCAAGTTCTTTTTATTGGATTGAGCCACAGTTTGTATAAGTTAATTTGCCGATACACACATTCTGTGAAAACCTTGCTACTAAAATCTAGTACATAGCTTTGTTACTGGCCGAGCTTTTCTGCACCGAGTTCTAGACACCTTCCATCTTGCTATACTGAACTCCTCTATGTATGAACTCCATTCGCGCTATTTTTATTATTTGACAAAGGATAACCCTCCCTAACACTTTTAATAGGATCAAAACTGACACAGTCTAAAGGATCCAGTGTGCAAGTTGTGACATTTAGGAATGATACAAAAAATCTAAGTCAAGCTTCCAGTGTGACCTCATTGATCCATGATTAATGAGAACTACGCGATTATTGTGAGTCTGAGTGACTGGAATATATATCTATTTCATCAAGCCATGAGCATGCAAGAGACCAGCTACAAGAATCTTTTGAACCACCATTCCGTCAATGACCTTATACAATGCATCTCAGGGGATATTAATTTTGGATTGAATTACTAGGCAATGCTAGTTTATAGCACTCACCCCGGCCAAGGCCGTAACCAGTCCTGACCATCAATTAAATGAAATGAAACTTAAAGGCGAGGGCCCCACCTGCGCAGCTGTGACTAAATTATGCATACACAGACACACAGTCTGGAGACGCAGGGAATGATAATAAAACAAACCTGTAAGCCTGGTAATGATTATAAAAATATGTGAAATATAAATAAAATAATGCCTGCATTTGGAACAAGGTGGGTACAAATGTACACCCTATTTTCGTCCCAAATACCCCAGGACATAATCATAACACTATCACTTTTAACTAGCATATATATAAAGGCAAATATTTAACACCTACACCTGCTGGAAAGTTCTACACTAAGGGCCTGCTAGCTAGCGAGCTAGCTAGCTAGCTTGTTCTGCCATCAGTTGGGAGTTTGCAGTAGCTTTAAGCAGTGGCTGGTATTGTGTTTGCTCCCTTTCTTCTGTCCACATGAAGGCCCTGTAGCCTGGTACATATCCTCCCCCTTCAGTTTGTTATGAACTGTTAGCTGGATATGTCCAGTTAAGGTAAAATAGTGGATTTATACTTCTGGATTACAGTCCCAGAAAGAATGGTTTTGCATCTATTTATAATTTGTTAGATTGATTGCATAGAACCATTATTTGACTATATTTATACAACTTGAACTTAGTAACTGCTTCACATTGAAATTTAATCTTTTAAACGCTGTTAAAAACAATCGATATGTTACTTCAATGCCTTCATTTTAAATGTTTAAATGTACCTGTGTAAACATCTTTTGAACTGCAAACCCCTTAATCAGTTATACATACACACATACATACATACATCACATATTGGGATACAATATATTTCAATATTTTCTTACACCCCAAGTAATCACTGTATTCTGTGGACATCAAATGAAACTCCAATCATGCTTCTGCTATTTTGTCTCTTTGACCCTGTTGATGTTCCTACAGATTGCAGCGTTTGGTCTGGGTCCAGTTTCCACCGTTGCAGCTTTTCAACCTATTTGTACAACTATTAGTATATTTGTGTTTGGCAGGGTGCACATGTTTCCACAAGCACATGCTGACCTGTTACATATTTTATTCTCTTTGCAGACTTCATCCATATATCCATATGTGTCGAAACAAACGGTGAAACAGCTTTAAACATTACATCTTTTATATTTCTGTTAAGCGTTGATATAATTAACATAATCTACTCTGATTGAGCATATTTTCTGACTTTCCCATTATACTGGTGCACAACGAAGTAGTTCATTTCCTGTTGGTTTTTAAGTTGCAAAAACAGAGTAGCTTTGTTCATTCTGTTTTCTGTATGAATCAAAACAGGTTCCATTGGTTGCATGTAGTGCACATCATGCAACATTCACACAAAGTTGAAACATGCTCAACTTTCTTTGACTGAGTGTTGGCAGCTGTTGTCCGCATGTGTATTGTGGTTCAGTCCAAAATGACTGGGTGTCTCTTCTCTAGTCTCTTGTACGTGTGAAGCAGTGCCATTTAAGGTACGTAGCCCTTTTAGAGGTCATAGCCCATACGGGATGATGAAAATTAGTCCGACCTTTTGTGTCTGTGTTTCTGAATCCATTAAGCGTGACGAGACCCGCCCACTTGCTATTTTCTGTGATTTTCTGGGAAGATACATTTGGAGTAACAGTGTGGCTAAGACGAACTGGGGTAATGGAAACTAGCTCCACCACCATGGCAGCTGTGGCCTTTTCTTTAGACACCATGTTATGACTAATTATTCTAAATGGCCTGACATGTTTATCTCTGCTTTTACACAAAGACCGTAACCTAATCTATCTATTTATTTTTGTACTCCTCCTTTTTTTACCCCATTCATCTGTCTTTCTCCTCTCGTTTTGGTCAATTATTGGCCATTGCTATTGCTTGGGGTAAAAAAATAAAGACGGCACATATTTTCTTTTCTGTAGCATGAAAAGGTTGGTGATGGAAGCCATTATGGGCCTGTGAATGTAATCAGTCCCGGAGTCCAAAATAAACAGCGGTGCTCAGTGGAGGCAGAATGACTTTTTCTTCCCTTTCATCCTGGCTAATTGAACGGCCTCTCTACTATTATAGTCTCTTACAAGACGCTACCAAGTGACCCCGATAAGAACAATGAGTGCATATATGCATTTTTATGGGTGAGTTTGTTTGCCAGTCTTGGAGCCTTAGATTATTCAATCGCCACAGATATTCACTTTTCTTTATCCCAAGTGTAACATATTTCTTCTGAAAATCCTTTTGGCACTGATGAGTCAGGTCAGCACAAAGCAAGAATGTGGTGCTCTGATCTAAAATAACAGCATAAATCAACAATTTCATCAGCCTCTAAAATCAGTCCACTAAATTATATTACTTATCCAGAGATATTTCTTTTAAAGCTGTTCAATTGTCTGATTCTAGCAGCACAGTATATTTTCCAGGCCATCTCATCAACTTCAAATTCCAGTATCATTCCCTCCAGTTGCTCTCAGTGACTTCCCCTCCTTTGCAGATCAGCTGACTGCCCACCTACCTGCACACTTGCTGCTCACTACCTCATTAGTCTCAGTCTATACGTCAGCCCTCAACCAGCAGCATCTCTGTGCCAGATTGTGCTCTGCTTGTTTTTGCAAACTGCCTCCCTACGTTGCCTTTTTGGATTTGTTTGCTGGTTCTGCCTGCCTACCCGTTGATTAATGAAGCCTGGTTTACCTCGACCGAGTAAACAGTATTTAACACCTCCTGCTGTCTTAGTCTGCTTCTGACTCACTACAGTTACATAAGGGTAAATAAACTTTCTGTCAAGCTGCCCATGTGTTGTCTGGCATTTTCTCAGTTGTTTTGCTTTAACTTTCTTACAGTGGAAAATACGTATAAGCCTAAATCTGAAACGTACTATATGTTACAGATGCTTAAGGTTAGCATGTTACTGTGCTATCTTAATATGATAACATTACAAGCTAAGAGTTAGCAGGCTAACGTTCTTATCATTAGTTTACTGTAGACCGGATATAGTGAAGCTAACATGCTAAACCAAGGTTGTAGGTTACAGTACACATTACAAGCCAAACATTACCATGTTAAAATGCTAATTATAGGCATATTACCATAACTTTATAATCTTTTTAATTATAAGCCAAGCAACCATGTTAATATACTAAACAAACTAGAGTGAAATATTAGTCTGCAACAACAGTTTGAGCCAGACATTATTATGGTGAAAACTGTATGAACATCAAAATGCTAATGTTTAGCTTGAAATGTAATACAAACTAATGTTAACATGCTAACATTAAAGAATTCCAATGTTATCTGTGCTTTGAGTTTAATGCTACTATTGGCCTTTTAATATTGTCTCAGTCAAACAGTGTTTACTCCAAAATAGGTAAGATCTAGCATAGGTGTCTCTTAGTATGTACCCGACACACATTTTTCCTGGTGTTTTGTGAGGATCAAAGGATTACGGGGTTCCTAGCAGACAATACACTTGTGTTTTCTATGCTAAGCCAATTTGATGACTAAGAATTAATGTTAACACAGATTTAATGAAGGTGTAAAAACAGTATGTGTGCCTTTGTGTGCAGGCCAGCTGTGTGGGGAGGGCTGGCACCATGTCGGAGAGGCCTGCCTGAGGATCAACTCCAGCAGAGAGAGCTATGATAACGCCCAGCACTACTGCAAAAACCTGGGAGGAAATATAGCCTCTTTGCTCACAGACAAACAGGTCAATTTTGTTCTGGAAGAGCTTCAAAAATACCAACTGCAAGAAAAGGTGGGTGGTGTAAAAAATAAACTGATAAAAAAACGTAGTAATAATAAAGGTGACAGGACTTGGTGGAAGCTATTGGTTCTTTTCCACTCTTCCTTCTCTGCCTTACACAGTTGCTGCGGCTATTTGCACACTATTGTGCAACTTCCAACATGCACCATGAACGGTTTGGATATTTTAAAGATGATTTTGATACAATACTCACATGCATTTATTATTCTTCTAGTTCGTACTGGCAATGAAGTGCTGCCATATAGTTCAACTGGTCAGTTGAACATAATGAGGCTTCATTTAGACAAATCAAGTGGCCAACCTTCCAAAGTTAGGTTTTTTAGTATGAAATTCCCTCATCATGTTACTGTCCCTCCTCTGCAGCTCGACAAGGAAACAAAAGATGGAATTTCACACTCAAAATATGAACTTGATTTGGCAAACTGCTGAAGCCTAGGCGTCGGCTGAAATGCAGAATGCATTTTAATGAGGACCATGTTCTATATCTCTTTCCTTGGACTTGCGTTACTAAGGGATGGCTTCAGGGTCAATGTGGAGAGGAGGTGAATGACTACAGCGATCATTTAAAGTACACTGTATGACATCTGAACATTGTATTAAGACGGACTTGAATGCATCCAAACCTGTCATATCAGGCTGGTTTATAATGTAAAGTAAGGAAAGAAACAAATGTAAAATCGTCAGTGCCACAATGTGCTTGTGGCAACACCATATACGTACGTGTGTATATATAGTCTAGTTAAATAGCTGCATCTAATGGAATGTTAGTGTTCAGCTGTTTTTATCTTTCATGTAGAGACTGAAGTACTGTGATGTCCTGCTGATTGTGGACAACTGAACTCAGAGTTCTTACTGCTTCAATAACATTGATTTATTCAATTCTATTCCAAGGAATATGTGGTATCAAGATCATTAAATTTGAGTTATTGAACATGAACCCAGCAATGTTGTTTGCTATTTACTGATCAACATGTCCATATAACAGCCTCACTGTTTAAAATAAGATGTGTAAATGTTTAAAAATTGTTGAAATTGTATAACACAATGCCTCTGGCTTTAGGTAATTTGATAGTTTGAATAATATCAATTTTCAAAAAAATATTTTCACCACACCACGAGGAGTTTTGATATCGCCAGGTACAAAGAAGTGAAATTTCTCACCAGGATATTTCCGATGTGGCTTTTTTATTTTTTAAAACTCTACGAAAGAGTCAAAATAGGGAAACATTTTAAGCCCACAGTGAAACACACCAGCTTCATCATCGTTTTCTTCATCCCGGATGAGTGACAGGATGTGAATGTTTTTCACACTGAAATGTAGACTAGTTGTGTTAGTGGTGGAAATGTCATTTGAGACCCTGATGTGTTTGACCACACACAGACTTTTTGATAAATGTGCAGCTTCAGGAGAAATGTGAGCAAATATTTGAAGGGTGTTAATTGAAACAAAGTGCGTTTCCCTTTCTTGCTCTCTGTCTTGTAGAAAAGTGCCTGTTTTTGTAGATAAACAGTTTTTTATCTTTCCTTTTGGTTGAAGGTGATTCTAAATCTATTCTGTTCTAGTTCCACTTTTTAAGTTAACATCAACATTAACTTTTTAAGCAATTACCACATACCAGCCAGCTATTTGGGTGGTATACTGACACGCGAGAATACACACAGAACAAGCTCTTTGTAATCCTTGATCCTGAAGCTTTAATTTAAAGCCTTTTGCATGTTTTTATAAAATAAATCACAGCTGTGAGAAAATATTTTTGATTTCTTTCAAATTAAACTAATATTAACAGTTCATAATCATCATGAGACATTACTATATTAAACAAATCACACTTGTTTTGTCAGAAAATAAATCAAAACTTCAGTCAGCTGCTATAATTAGATTTTCTGCTTTTATAATTACAGTAATTTGATTTAGGATCCACTTTCATGTAAAAGACAACATTTTTGTTTGTGGTTCAGAGGTATCAGCCTTCTGACTTCTCTTGGCAAACAGGACTACATCTTTATTTCTTCACTATGTGGACTCCTGCTCAGCTGTTCATTTTAGTATTATTATGTTGTTTTTCTTGCTTATGCATTGAGTTATTGCTCTCATTATGGTGTTTTTTCCCCAACCTTTCTAGCACATTGTCCATATGTACATGTGAACTGCATACAATTAGGGCTCATTATCTTCCTTTTTTTGTTGTTTTTTAAACACAGAACAAACAAAGAAAAGAACAAGAAACAGCTTGTGCTTCATAACCTAACTGCTTCTTTTTCTCTTTCTCTACAGACATTATCTCCCTGGGTTGGCTTGAGGAAGATCAACGTGTCCTACTGGGGCTGGGAGGACATGTCACCCTTCACCAACACCAGCTTGCGATGGTTACCTGGAGAACCCAACGACTCAGGCTTCTGTGCTTACCTGGAGCGGACGCAGGTGGCTGGTCTTAAAGCCAACCCCTGCACAGCCAACACCGACGGCCTCATCTGTGAAAAACCTGCTGGTGAGGAAGAATGAGTGCACTAAAAAAAGGAGAGAGAGACAGGTGGATGTGGTTAATAAGACCAGACTAAGGATAAAACTCAGATTGGAGGCTACAGTTTATCAGTTCAGGCAAGCTAAAGAAACCAACTCTTGGGTGAAAAAAGTATCAATGCATGAGATACATTATATAATTACCAAAACATTTCTTAAAAACACTGACATTTTTTGTTCTGTTAAAATGGATAAACTCAAAAGTGAGAAAGAGGAAACAAGTGGAAGCTGTATGAAATGTTTTGTAGGAAATAAAAATCATCAGGTATATATCTAAGCTCTGAACCTTTATCTTATTTTCTAACTAGCTCCAAACTTCAGTAAATAACTATTAGTTCCTTTTCTCTAAACTTTTGTCTCTGGCATTTGTCTCGTTGCTCAGGGAGTCCACAGAGTCAGAGTGCTCGTCCCTGTAAGACGCCCTGCTCTCTGCACACCAGTTGTGCCAACTGCACCAGCCAGGCCATGGAGTGCATGTGGTGCAGCAGTACACAGCGCTGTGTCGACTCCTCGGCGTATGTCATCTCCTTCCCCTACGGACAGTGTCTGGAGTGGCAGACCCAGGACTGTACTGGTGAGATGGGGAGAAATCAAACGGGGGGATGGGGAAGGGTGGAAATTAACAGATATGTTAGACCGGGGTCAGGGGGGCGGTTTAGATCTGTTTGTTTATGTGCTTTTAAAAACAAGAACTCAGGTGGGAATATCTCAGACCCACTTTCTAGCTATATCCAAGGCTTTTAACCACATTTCACAGTCTTCATCAGCAATGGGAGTTTGATCATCTCTCAATCTCTGCAAGACCAAAAGATGTGGTGCAAAGCCTCAGAAAAAGCACTTTTATTTAGTGTTACTTTAGGTAGTAACGCTTCCATTCTGGAAGACATGCTGCTGTTAATCAATTACATTTTAGCTAAAAAAAAAAAAAAAGACATTTAAAAATATTTTTTACTCCACTACATTTTTCTAATGGCTTGAGTTACTAGCTAGTTTCTGGATTAACACTGTAGTACCAGCTACAAGGCGCAAATGCACACTAACCCGACACCAGAAAAGCAAGATGTACAGGCATAGATTTAGGAGGTGAGATGTAAGATTTGCATGTTATCTTTGTCATTTAAATATAATGTTGTGTAAAAAGCTGTAATGACAAGTTAGTATATGGTTGGAAAAAGCCTAGAGGTTATAGCTTAGTCAAAATATGTGGTTTAGAAGAATGAATGAGGTGGTGTAGTACTCTACTCACACCTTTTGATGATGCAACTAGAGTACATTGTGTGAACATGGAGTCATTATAGACTCCTATCGATCCTTTTCTTATCAGCAGTCAGGTCTCTACCTCTCACACACACACACTGACACAAACACACACTCCTAACACCGAGGCAGTGCCACCTCTCCTGTAGCTACAGGGCAGAAAATCGATCATCTACAGTGACACACAGCTGACTCGATATGAAGTCCTCGCTGCTGTCCGTTAACATTCCTCTCATATTAACACCTCCCTGTAGGTTTGGAAGTGGTTCTGAGTACACAGGAATGTTTGTATGTGAGAAAGACGAGGGATCATGAACCATGAAACCAGACAAAGGGGAAAAGCTGCCAGGCCCTGCTGCAGCCTCTCTGAATTAGCATCTTTATGATGATTTCCATTGCTTCATAAGTCGTCATGACATGAAGACACAAAGGGTTTTCCTGCCTAACTGCCAATAGTTTCCTCTCTAAACAACATTCCTGTAGTGGCTTCAGCCATTTATCCTATAGGTTGCTTCTACGTTTACCTGCTTTGGTTGACAAATTCTCCAGCAGGAAAGGAATGGGAACTATTGCTTAAAAAGAAACAAGCTGTTTATTTTTTACATCAATTCATTTTTGAACTAAAACAGCCTTCAGTTAATAGGGACCGCACAGGCATCCTGTTGGATTATTGTCTTGATTTTCAAATGTTGAATGTCCAGTCTAGTTTTTTTTGGCATTTATGATCCACAAAATCCCCTTCTTCAGTTTGTTTTATAGACGTTTTACTTTGTTCAGCCACTTGTTTACTTGAGACTGCAAGCTGTTTACAATCATCCTGTATAAATGGCCACAGCTTTATATGTGGAAGTTAGTAAGCGCCACTGATAATCAACCACATGGACCAGTGAACAAGAAGCTCTGGCACATAACAACCAGGAGTCATTTGATTCAGAAAATCCTCTATTGAAAAAGAGATAAAAGCTTTGGATATCTTATTTTGGTGCAAATGTATTTTAAACATCTAAATAAGTCATTGTTTTTACTACATGAAAAAGTCTACATACATACATTTTGTATACCCAAAAAAAAAAATGTGTCCATCTACTATATACTATACTGTAACTATAGAATAAATGGAATCTACAAGACAAAAGAAGTTATTTTGTATTTTAAAACTACTGATTATCCTAGCCTAGATATCCAACCTAGACAGAAGGCGGCTACACGTTATAGCAGTATGACTAACCGACCAGTGGAAGCGATGCTTGTTTTTGATAATGTTCATTGATGTTTTATTTGGAAAAGTGAAGGCCATGTTTTATTCTAAAGTTCAACAAGTTTAAAAATCTGTTAGAAAAACAAAAAAAGATATTCTTTCAGGCAAAACTTTTTATTGGTGTTTTCTGTCTTTTGTTAGACAAATAGTCAATTTGTAGCCAAGTGTTCTTGTTTCTGGGGAGTTAAAAAACAGCTTCAAAAACAGTTTTTGTCTTGTGACTGGTGATTATTATTCCTCGCTGGTGCCAGTAGTCTGAATGCAGACAGCTCTCTAGCCTACTGTTAGCAAGCTATGATTGTTTTTCCTTCTTTCTTTTTACCGACATTGCTTACATAATGGCACCTTTTCCCCATCTCCTTTGCTCTTTTATTATTTATATCGCAGTTTGGTGGCAGAAGATGTGTAGGATGCTTTTGTTCTGCTGCTTTTTGCCTTTGTTGCTCAAAGTGTGGCATATAAAATATGACATATTTCACTTTTCAAATTCTCAGATATAGCATTGTTGCTCTTTTGAAGTCCACCCCTCTTTGTATAGTGTTTCATACTTAACTTTCTGCTTCACTTCTCTTGTTTATGGATTAATCATGTCTTGTTTTGGAAACCAGGCCTGCAGGCTGCAGCTGAAGGATTCATGACCTCGGCTTTAGTAGCTGCTTTCACAAAAAACAATTGCTTGTCTGAGGATCCAATTTGAACTGGGTCATTTATTTATCAGATAAATTTGGCCCAAGGCTTTGTGTATCATTCCCATTTTTCATGTCGGCTGGAGGCCAACTACACATTCCTCAACACAACCTCTTGAAATAATTAGCTCCAGTGTTGCACCAGCAGTCAGATTTGGAAGTTTTGGCTGCTCCTTCAAAAGTGAGCTGATTTTTCAATCCCAGACTAATTGTGCAGTACTATGTTTCTTGTCATAAAATAGACATTCTTTGACTTATGTGACACTTTTGAGCTTCCCTCTGCTTTTTTTCACCTCTTTTTTACCTCTCTGCCTCCAGGGGCTTGTCCCTAAAGGTCTTGCACCTGCAGCTATATGGCACTCAATATGGCAACTGTAAATTAGTCTGTGAATTAAACTTTTCATTCTATATGTGCTCAATAACACTCCTCTCTGCATAGCTTGTGAGGTCAGTGTTTGCCACTGTAGACACGCACATTTATCCTACATCTACCCCCTCAGTACTGCTGCCAGTTGTTTTTTCATTGTTGTTCAGTAGATAGGAAGATACAGAAAGACCAGACTTTCACAAACAACTGCTTTTAGGGATGGAGAACAACTGCAGTGATAACTCTGCAAACTGGCAGCCTAAAGTTCTATCACATAACATGCATGTTAGTGCAACAGCACTTTTTGTTGGCTCTGTACTGCAGATTTTGTAATTAAATCATGACTGTGATTGAAATGCTGCATCAGATGCTTGGTGTTTTACAGTACCTGGCAATTTTTTAAGTGTGCTGCGTCCAATTACTGTTCCACAATGCATAAAGGAAATGGAGGATCTGCGCACTGCTGTAAAAAAGTAAGCTGTGGGTGATGGGAAAACAATTCCAGAAACACATCAGAAAACAAAAACAGCATTATATTTAAAAATGTGTCTTTTTTGGGGGGGCTTTTATTGCCTTTATGATAATGACAGCTGAAGACAGACAGGAAAGGGGGGCAGAGAGGGGGGGATGACACGCAGCAAAAGGACGGATTCAAACCCTGGGCCTCTGCAACAAGGACTCAGCCTCAGTACATGGGACGCCAGCTCTACCAACTGAGCTAACCAGGTGCCCCAAAATTTGCTGTCTTTTTATAGTGACTTTTTAAAGTTGCAGTTTGATTGGCAAACATTTCCTGTTAATACAAAATGCTGAAGTATGGTGATTTCAGTGCACACTAAGTGTAAAAACAATATACTATGACAATCAGTATCTAGTTCATACTGTATACAGTTAGTAAGCGGTATGACATTGGAATACCATTTCTGTTCTAAAACAGTTTGTATTTCAAAAGGACTACTACTCTTCCACTGTTTACCCAAGAAACAACCGCCAATCCTCCTCAAAGCTAAAAGTGCTTACCTGTTTTGTGCCATTTCAAATCAGATGTGCTGTATTACACAGACAAAACAATGAAAACATTTCACTTTGCTACGGTATATGGAGGAACAAGAATATTAAGGACCCCTTTCAGTCTGACTCAGTCCAGTACAGCAGATCCACCACAAACCATAACCTCAAAGATGACCATAGAGATGGAACCACACATTTCTGCCCTGCCACAACCATTTAAACACAAAAATGGGATTAAGTACAGGTGTGTGGGATTACAGTACACAGCAGTTGTTCTTCTTTTTGTCACTCACTGTGTGTATTTTGTTGTTTAGACAGGCGACTACAACAGATCAGTGACTATGATTTCATTATAGTTGAACATAGGTTTCAAATGAATCTGTCTTACACACACACACACACACACACACACTCACATTTACAGGCAAGCTGGATGATGGTTATGTTGTATCTGATATTGGTTTTGCTGCACAGAGATATGGGCTTATTTTCTCTGAGGCAATCTTCATAACACGTGTGGGTTTTTTTGTTTGCTGTCTTGCAGCTACATGCAACAAGAAAAGTGAAGGAGAAGGCAGCTTATGGGTCCTACACTTGATGTATTATGTATAGGGGCTCACAGATCTGTATGCTACTGGCTACAGTGATGCTAACTGTCAAGTACTGTAGGAGCAAATGGATTGCACAAGATGAAGCCAGACGATACGTGCTATCCAGGGACACCAAATGTCAAACCCTGTTGTGATGAACAGAATGTGGCACGGAGACGATTGTGCTGAGAGAATTTTTGATAAGATGAAAATTCCCCCAGCAGGAACAAGCAATCCCTTTCTTTGCTGCACAAAGATAGACTAAGTTGCTCAGAACATTTGTCATCTGTTGTGTTTAGGTATCCTCTAGGTTATTTCTGTCAATGAAGACGACTAATATCCTGATTTCAATAGAACCATATATTTTGGGAAGGTTTTGGAAAGGAACACAGAATAGAGTTTTTT